CCGTAAAGACGAGAGGCGACTCCTCAGGAAATTATCAGGGCCTTCTAAGGGGGATCGTACGTCCCAGTGTGCCTAGGACAGCACCTCCTAATGGCTGTTGTAATTGTTCATAGTGCCCCCCCCTTCAGTCTCAACCGTGACCCCGTTTAGACAGTAAAGTATGTGGAGCCGTGCTACTCGGTGCCAGCTGTCTGCTGAGCTTGGGGAGTAGAGAGGTGAGTCTGAACCCTTCTCCTCAGGTACTCCATGTAGGGTGGGGGCGGGGCCCGCCGACAGACTTTGCAGACCAACAGTTGTGGACGGCGTGGTAAGTACGGATTTGGAACACGGTAACGTACAGTATACTTAAGGCAACAGCTCTTAATCTGGGGACAGCGGATGGACCCCAGGGGGTCTTGAACTCCCTAAAGTGGAAGATACGTTGCACATATTCTCGCTTTTCTAGGGACACGAGCCCTCCCTGCTCTCCTAAAGGCTAAGCACCACTACCAGAGAACACTGGGCTGCCCCCAAAGGGGCGGACTTTTTACTCCGCTCTTCTCGCACGGTCACCTGTAACTGAGGATTCTTGGCAAAGTTTAGAACCTTTGACTCCCAAGATGGTGCACTTGCCCAGAGTGGCAGGTGCACTGGACTGAACCCCTAGTGGCGGGGGCACAGGGCCTTAGGTAGCCCTGCTGCCTTCTGGTCAGCTCTGAAAACTGTCTTTGAGAGTCAGGAAGTTAGCTTTGTGTCCTTGGAATGTTGAATTGATTTCCATCATTTACACCCTGGGGGGTGTGCACTCAATAAGGACTTCTTAAAGTGACTTTCCTGCCACAGTGCTCCAGCGTCTCCAGATGGTAATCTGAGTCCGCATTGCTCACGGGGCCAGTATAACGGTGTGCACCTTTGGGGGTTCTTTTCTTGGATTTCTGTTTAGCTTATGTGCCTAAGATTCAAACTGCAGACGATCTTAAGATGACTGGTGTCACAAGTTGGATCTTCATATGTTCATAACTGGTTTTTAACTAATGGACTACGTAAGTGGTATGTTAATATACGAAAATGTGGTTTTGTAGGAGGGCTAAGAAGTTATAGATGGATCAGCACAAAGCCTTAAAAGGGAGAAAATAAAAACAGGCAGACTCTACTGGTTCAGTAGCAGGCCCCAGTTTATGTGTAGGTTCTGTTCCCCCAAAAAAGAGTTTATAAAATCAGTTTGGAACTCAGGTCCCATTTCCTATAGAAACAGTGGCAAAACGTAGGGGTGGGTTCCTCGGCGGGTAGCACGCGCTCACGCAGAGTACGGGGCTCTGTAATTGACCACACACTCCGGGTGCAGTCTGACTTGCGGTCCCTAGATACCCACTCAGTGGCCATGCGGTGTAGGTCTCCTTATCTGTGACCGGGAACATGGTTTATTTGGAAGGCTGACAAGGATTGGTCAGGTGCCTGACACGGGGGGAGGAGGGGGGTCATCTCTCAGCAGGCGGTGGTGGCTGTCAGCTTCATTGCAGAGTTGTTTCAGTGATACAGTCTTGAATCGAGTAGACAGCTGTTTGTTGGATGAAACCATGAATGAATTAACTCCTAAGTGCTCGCAGAGACTGGAAGTGTGTCTGACGGGTGATAGGAGTCTGGTTCTTAGAAGTTGGGGAGTACCTTTACTTCTCGCCAGTTCAGTTCACATTCAAATGTGTGGAGCCTATGTCAGGCACATGATCAGGCTTTAGCTCATCTAATTGTTACAATCTTGCAAAATAGATACTCTTGTCCCTATATTTCAGATGAAGAGACACACCGAGGTGTGGCCCGAGGTGTGCCCAAGGTCCCGACTCTAGGAAGCTGGGGTCCAGGTCTAACACAGAGGCCACACTGTTGCACTGGGTGTCCCATTAAGATGCAGCCCCCCAGCGGGTAAACTGCCCACTTTTTGCATTAGTTCGGGTATTTGAAGTTAGGTACTGTGTTTCTTCCATTTATTACTCTAGGATTTGATTTCAAGTTCCCAGAGTTTAAAAGGCAGTCTGATTGGATCTAATCATGACAGCGAGACCAAAGTGCAAACCGGTTTGCATATGAGCCCCAGGAAAGAGCTGTTACCAGGTTAGGAGAGTTCGTGGCTGTGAACAGGATAGTATGTTGCGAGGCCAGTGGCAGGCTTGGAAGGTATTTTCTGCAGCCTGTCAGTTGTGTGATTTTTAATCTAGTTTGAGGGGACATTTAATTTTAGATAACAGTCGATTGATTTAAGTGGGAAGTCATTTTGTTTTCTGGGGTTGCCATCACACTATAAAATGTGAAAATCAGAATTTGTCAGGTTTCCGGTAGGGGCGTCTGAGGCTCAGTAACCAGCTCCGTGTGACCGGTTGCCCACAGGGCACAGGTCTAGATTCAGCAGCTGCCCCGTGTGGAGAGCTGTCTTATATGTAGCGTAAGAAGATCTGTGCAGAGATGGGCATAGGACTCCTGCACAAAGGAAAAGCTTACTGTCCACCAAGAAAGGGGAAGGGGCCCCGAGTGCTTGTTGCAACCTGGCCCTGTCTGACCGCTGAGCGTGGAAAGGCCTTAGCTTTCAGGCACCTCGCTTATCTCACGGGGGGCAGTAGGCGTGCTCTCTGGGGCAGGGGGGCCTACTTGATATTCAGCAGGGTCCACCATTTGAGGACTGACTTTTAAAAAATTCTCCCCAATAGTCCCCAGTCCTACCTCTGGATAGTACAGTTAGGAAGACTGAAAAGTGAATCATGCTCAAAACTGTGGCTATGAATGGATGATCAGGTTTGTAAATTTCTATTACCGGTGGTCATTTGGTTGATTTATAAAGTGGCAAATTTTAGGTGATTTGTCCTAATGTGTGCTCAATTATAATAATTTCCATTAACTGCAAAAACAGTGTTTCTAACTATCAATTAGGGTACCAGCTCTTGGTATGCATCTTTAAACACAGGTTCTCCTTTCAAAAGTACAAATTTGAAAGATACGTGTTGGGGCGCCTGGGTGGCGCAGTCGGTTAAGCGTCCGACTTCAGCCAGGTCACGATCTCGCGGTCTGTGAGTTTGAGCCCCACGTCAGGCTCTGGGCTGATGGCTCGGAGCCTGGAGCCTGTTTCCGATTCTGTGTCTCCCTCTCTCTCTGCCCCTCCCCCGTTCATGCTCTGTCTCTCTCTGTCCCAAAAATAAATAAACGTTGAAAGATACGTGTTTAATTTTTAGTTACATAAATGCATAAGATAATTTTATATATCTTGTTTTTGAGAGAGAGCACACTAGAGCACGAGTGGAGGAGGGGCTGAGAGAGTGGGGGACAGAGGATCCAAAGCAGGCTCTGTGCTGACAGCCAGCAGGCTGATGCAGGGGCTCAAACCCGTGAACCGTGAGATCACGACCTGAGCCGAAGTCAGACACTTAACTGACTGAGCCACACAGGCGCCCCAATAATTTTCTGTATTTATTGAAGTATGCAATCATATGTGTGTGCTTCCAGTACCAAATATCAAGTAGCATGATTGTGACATACATCATCTTAAATAATAACTTTGAAGACTCAGGTGAACGTTGAGCCCTTCGCCATTCCTGCTGTTGCAACAGTGACTCACTCCAGGTTGCGCTGGTGAGTGGTGTTGGTTTCCTGCACATATACTCCGGTCCCACTGTGTGCAGTCTCCAAAATGGAACAGGGACGCCTGAGGGCTCAGTCGGTTGAGCATCCGACTTCAGCTCAGGTCATGATCTCACGGTCTGTGGGTTCGAGCCCCGCGTCGGGCTCTGGAGCTCAGAGCCTGGAGCCTGCTTCGGATTCTGTGTCTCCCTCCCTCTCTCTCTCTGCCCCTCCCCTGCTCATGCTCTGTCTCTCTCAAAAATAAACAAACAATAAAAAAATTTTTTTAAGGAAGAAATGGAACAGTATACTGTCTATGGGCATCAAGGTTGGAAAACCAAAAAATATACACTTTATTATTAAATCCAGATTGGTAAAGATAAAAGTGAGATCTTCTGAAATGACAGTCTTTTTACACGTGAAACTACTCAAACATGTAAGATTTTCTGCAAGAGTCCTTTTCCGTGATATACCTGTGTTAGGGCAGTGATTCTCCACTTTGCTGTGAGGAAGTCACAGGGTGCATGAGTGAGTGCCACCTTCGGAGCATCTGGTGGTGGCTCCAACATACAGGTCTCTGAGTAGGCCCCGGGTCTGCATTTTTTTTTAATTTTATTTTTTTAACATTTATTCATTTTTGAGAGGGAGAGAGAGCGTGAGCAGGGGAGGGGCAGAGAGAGAGAGAGAGGAAGGGAGACACAGAATCCGAAGCAGGCTCCAGGCTCCGAGCTGTCAGCACGGAGCCCGACGCGGGGCTCAAACTCACAGACCATGAGATCATGACCTGAGCTGAAGCTGGACGCTCAACCGACAGCCACCCAGGCGCCCCCAGGTCTGCATTTTTAAAGCTTGTCCTGAGTGATCCTTTGGGACAGTCAGGGCCATGCTTACAGAAGCACGTTCGGGAACAGGAGCTAGCCCATGACCTGGGGACTCCCAAGGCCGGCCGAGGTTTCTGCTTCAGACCCTTGAGGGGTGCCTTCGGTTCTGCTGTCTCATTCAGTCGTGCAACTTTTCTTGAATTTCAGTTCTTACTCGAAGAATTGAAAAAGCTGTCCCTTGCAACAGCTATCTTATTACTTTGTTTACTGGGTTGCACTTGTGACAAGAACACCAGGTCTCTGCCAGATTGCCGCAGATGTGAGGCACTCACCCCCCAGCTTAGTACGTGCAGCCTGGTGGAGACCCCGTGGGTGGTGCTGGCCTCCCAGCCTCCCTGCCGGCGCAGGCAGCAGCAGTGGTCTGTGAACGGGGGCCTGGGGTCTGGAGGAGCCAAGTGCCGGGCCAAGTGCGGGTCCCGGGCCCTCCTGCCGGTCAGGACCGAGCGTGGGCCCGGGAGAACCAGGGCAGGTTTGCTTTCCGTTTTGCTAAGTGCTGTGCACCTGCGATCTTTTTCTTTTGCAGAATTGTGGGTACCGATGGATGTGGCCGAGAGCCCTGAACGGGACCCTCGCTCTCCAGAGGACGAAGAGGAGGAACAGCAGAGGCTCTCGGACGATGACATTCTGAGGGAGAGCGGGTCTGATCAGGACTTCGGCGGAGCTGGGGGGAGGGCTTCCGATCTGGAGGATGAAGACCACTGGGACTGAGCCAGAGGAGGAGAGAAACAATACTCTGACCAGGAGTGACCAGGACCTGCGTGCAGTGCCCTGGGCATGGTGCCCTTCTCTCACAAGGGAGGGAAGAGCGCGAAGGAAATACTCTGAGGGACCAGGCTCTCACGGGTCACCAGGGACACCCGGACGGAAGCACAGGAGTTAGACCACACGAGGGAGGTCCTGAGAGGCCTGCCCCTGCCGTGGGCAGGAGTGACGAGGTCGGTGGAAGGCTGGCTGCCTTTATGACACAGGAGAAGGTGAATGGGGCCTTTGGGATGCGAGGAAATGCCGTGTGTCACGCCCGGAAGACAAGGGAGCCCTGTCCCGCCCAGCGACAGTTATGCAAGTGAGGACGGGAGCTGGACGACGGGGAGCTGGATGGGCGGGCTGGCGGGCTGGCAGGCTGAGGGAGGAGGCGGGGTGCGGGGAAGTCATGACCACTTGGAGCCGGCCACCTGGGTAGGTGTTCCTGGAGTGCCAGGATTCGAAGAGGACCTGGAAGCAGGGCCCAGAGAGCTTGGGCCTGCCGGTCAGCAGCTGGCACAAGTCCCAGACACTGCCTCACACCGCCTGCTGCTTTGGTGGGAGGGCAGACAGACGCCCGACCCCGATTGTTTCCTTGAGTTCTAGGTTTGTGTGACAAGACATCGTTTCTCTCTCTGCTATCTTCAAATAATATTTGAGTTCACATTCAACTAAAACCATTGTGGATTTTCAGTTCCTGTTAGGTTCTTGAGACTGGTGGGCTCCAGAAGCTTCCTTCCAGTTTTGTCTGTTCTTTCAGGCCTTTTTATCTTTGCCCCCCAGCCCATCCTCTGAGGGTCCCGGCTGGAAGTGTCCCTGAAGGGGCCCTTAGGAATGGATAACAGGTGCATCCGAACATGCCAGCTTTTGATCAAGCCATCACACTTGGTTACAATTTATTTAAATAATTTGACCTTCAGGTTATGGAGAAGGTATTGCTGACATACTCTCTCAGACACGGATAGGCTGGGTTTTCATGATGCATAATGCTGCTGAAAGGACTTTAATCGTGATCTATCTCTCTAAGTTTTTTCTTTAAGTTCCAGTTGGTGAACGTGCAGCGTGGTGTTAGTTTCAGTGTTCGATACAGTCATCCAGCATTTCCCTACATCACCCGGTGCTCAGCACGCCATGCGCCTCCTTGATCCCCATCGCCCGTTTCCCCCATCTCTAGCCCCCCTCCCCCCGGGAACCGTCAGCGTCCCCGTCCCTTTGCTCTTTTGTTTTGTTTCTTAAATTCCACATACGAGCGAGATCATATGGTATTTGTCTTTCTCTGACTTATCTCACTCAGCATAATACACTCTAGTTCCATCCACATTGTTGCAAATGGCAAGGTTTCACTCTTTGATGGCTGAATGGTATTCCATCGTGTATTACACCCCGTCTCCTTTATCCATTCATCAGTCGATGGGCACTAGAGCTGCCTACACAGTTTATCGTAAATATGCCGCAATAAACATGGGGTGTGCGTACCCCTTTGAATGAGTGTTTTTGTATTTTGAGGGTAGGTACTTACTAGTGGGATTACTGGGCTGTAGGGTAGTTAGATCTGTTTGCTTGGTTTTTTTTGATGTTTATTTTTGAGACAGAGAGAGACAGAGCATGAATGGGGGAGGGTCAGAGAGAGAGGGAGACACAGAATCCGAGGCAGGCTCCAGGCTCTGAGCGGTCAGCACAGAGCCTACGCGGGGCTCGAATTCACGGACCCGAGATCATGACCTGAGCCGAAGTCGGACGCTCAACCGACTGAGCCACCTGGGCGCCCCTAGTTAGACCTGTTTTTAACTGTTTGAGGAAACTCCACGCTGTTCTCCAGAGCGGCTGCACCAGTTTACGTTCCCACCATCTGAGCAAGAGGGTTCCCATTTCTTCACATCCTCGCCCACACCTGTTGTTTCTTGTGTTGTTGATGTTAGCCATCCTGACAGGTGTGGGGTGGTATCTCAGTATGGTTTTGATTTGTATTTCCTTGACGTGAGTGATGTTGAGCATCTTTTCATGTGTCTGTGAGCCACCTGGATGTCTTCTTTGGAGAAGTGTCTGTTCGTGTCTTCTGCCCATTTCTTCAATGGATTATTTTCTTGGTGTTGAGTTTTTTAAGTTGTTTTGCTTTATTTGTGTTTTGAGAGAGAGAGAGAAAGTGTGCGCGTGCCAGCAAGGGAGAATCCCAGGCGGGCACCATGCCTGGTGCGGAGCCCTTCTCTGTGACCGTGAGATCATGACCTGAGCCAAAACCAAGAGGTGGGCGCTCAACCGACTGAGCCACCCAGGCGCCCCGTAAATTTTATTTATTTAAGTAATCTGCACACCCCATGTGGGGCTTGAGCTCACGGCCCTGAGATCAAGAGTCACACACCCTCTTCCTACTAGGACAGACATCCCTGTAAGTTCTTTATAGATTTTGGATACCAGCCCTTTATCCAATACGTCATTTGCAAATGTCTTTTCCCATTGCGTAGGGTGCCTTTTAGTTTTGTTGATTGTTCTCTTTGGTGTGCAGAAGCTTTTTATTTTGATGTCATCCCAATAGTTTATTTTTGCTTTTGTTTCCCTTAGAAGACACATCTAGAAAAATGTTCCTATGGCCAATGTCACAGAAATTGCTGCCTGTGCTCTCTTCTAGGGTTTCTATGGGTTCAGGTCTCACATTTAGGTCTTTCATCTGTTTTGAGTGTGTTTGGTCTGTGGTGTAAGAAAGTGGCCCTGTTTCCCTTTGCATGTCACTGTCCGGTTTTCCCATCACCATTTGTTGAAGAGACTTTCTTTTTCCCACAGCATGTTCTTGTGTCTTTTGTAATCATGATCTTTAAAAAGTTGAGTTTTGGGGAGAAAGAGCCTGAAGTCCTACCGAGTAATGCTTTTACTCAAAGGAGTCGAGAGAGGGACAGAGCACATTGAAATAAGCGGGGGGGGGGGGGGGGGGGGGGGGGGGGGGGGGGGAGGTACCCCAGGGGAGGCGACGCTGCTTGTCTGGGAGTCATTACAGTGGAAGGTGTGTGGAATCTGTCAGAAATGTTCTGGGTTGGAGGAGGGAAAAGGTTGCTGCTTAAATACCTAACCGTAGTCCTCAGTAAGCACCACACCTCCTTAGGTGCCCATTCCGTCTTCACCTGTGCTGGTAGGCCGTGGTTGTGCCTGGTTTTAAACATTGCTTATCTATCTAACTTGGGCTCGTAAGAACAGAACTTGGTGGGGACGCGATGTATGTGGTTACAAGCTCCGAATTTTAGCTCTTTTCTTGCAGCTCTGCTAATAACCTTTGCTTTGCTTAAAGGGTATTGTCAGGGTATGATTATGCAGGCGTCCTTGGGTTTCCCAGCCATGCTGCCTTTCCGGTTTTGGAAAACGTACCTCTGCAACAGGCCTGTCCAAGGGAAGAGAGGTCTTGAAACCCGAGTTAATCCATTTGGGTGAAATTTTAGGCAGAAGATGAAGTTCTTGGCCGAGGCGCCTGTGGGTGTGGTTGTCAGTGTTGCAGAGCGAAAAGCCCCGTCTTTGTTCTGTCCTGAGAAGATGACGAGGGAGGGGCTGATTACCAGGCGTGGCCCAGGGGTCCTTGGCGGCCCATTCCCCACTCAGAGAGGGCCAGTTGCGAGTTCTTCCTGCTTCAACTGTTGAACGAGTCTTAGGGGGAAGTTCAGCTCCTTTCCTACCTTTCCATGATCGTATGGGCCAAGTGTCTCCCTGCGGGTCCCGGACGGCCGTGGTGTCATCGCACCAGTGGGCTTGCCGGCTGCCCTTAGATGTGGTGGTGCGGGACCTTGGGTTGAACCGAGGCAGCCCTGGAAAATGCCCATCGTCTGGAGGTTGGCTGGTTGCCCTAGAAAAAGCACGTGGAATAGAAGCCCAATTTGGCTTTCTTGCCCCTGGAGATCCTGAGGTTGGCCGGCTGGCTGGCTTGCCCTCCGCACACCCTCCCACGAGGGGCCCCAGCCTAGGTGGAAACAGCGCGCTGAGGAGACTGGGCGATGGCTTTGTTCGGCCACGCGGAAGCCGTCTCCTTCCCACACCACGGACGGTGCCTCTGGGTCACTGCGCCACAGGGACGTGACGGGGCAGAGCAGGACTCTTGCCCCGCTTGGAGACAGACCTCCGCAAGCGGAGGGCAGGCCCAGTGAATGGTGACAGGAGCACACGCAGCCTCTTCGAGCGCCTCTGCTGGGTTCCTGCCCTTGTCCGTGTCCGGCTGCACCCCGCCCTGTAACTGGCAGCTTAATGTCGCTTCCTCTCCGTGGGCTCTGCCTCCTCCCCCTACCGTTATCCCTGGCTGAGGACGTCGTTGTATTTGCACAGTCTGAATTTACGGGGTCATTCCCCCTCCCCCGCCTCCGGAAATATACGTCCCCTGAGTCCAGAAGCTGCCTGGCCGGCTCGTCTCTGTCTCGCCAGAACTGGCCTGTTGTGGGCAGCCCCTAACTGCCTTCTGAGCAGAGAGGTGAAACCCCCGTTACTTTGGGGTACGTGTCATTGAAATGTATAGTGGCAGCGGGCAGAAGGAAGGTCTGCCCCGGAGAGCCATTGGCACAGGGCGGCTCCTGTACTGGGTGTCGGTGACCAGCCCTGCCTGAGCCCAGTTGGTAGGACCCGGTGTGGACGAGCGTCGGCCTGTCTGGGAGCAGCTGCTCCTGGCCTCCTCCTCCTGCTCTTGTCCTGGTCCCAGCCCTCCGTCACTCCCCGCTAGCTCCCCACTGCAGCGTTGTCCCCACCAAGATGCCGCGCTGGCGTTCCTGTGCCGTATCCCCTCCCTCTCCCAGGCCCGGGTCTCTGATGGAGGGGGAACCAGACGTACACGCTTGGGTCTGGAAACAGCCTGCCTTCGCTGGTCCTTTGGCTTGGTCCCCTTTAGTCAACCCTTGCAAAGTCGCCTCTGGCCTCACGGAAAGCGTCCATCCCAGAGGGCTGTTTTTCCCCACTGCTTACAAGCCCTCTCATGTCACAAGTGAACCACCTGGATGTTTTGTGAGCAGGAGATGCGTGGTTTGGCTTCTACCTCGAGAATCTGCATTCGCCGTCACCCCTAAGGGTCCCCGTACCCAGCAGGCTCCCTGTCCAGAGGCCCCTCCCGCACACCTGCCACCTCCTCCCTGCAGCCCTCCTGGCCTTGAATTGCCAGAACAGCTGAGTGGGAGAGTCTACAAGCCAAGTGCTTTACTCGTCTTCGTGATGCCTTGTCCTGCCTTTTCTCCTCTCTTAGATGTCCAGTCACTGGGACTCGTGACTTGATATGCGGAGGAGTAAGCCCTTAAACTTCTTTTGCCTAAACCACACAATTTGTGCCCAAGATCTTGAATTACCTTTATACGTGTTTGGTGTGCTCCCAAAATACCTTTCAGATGCAGATATGTTTCTGGAAATGCTGCTTTGCTCCTGTGGTAGGGGTGGGATTTTGCATACGGGCACCCTGGCTTGTTTGTGGAGTGGAGGCTGAGGGTCCCCGATGGCCAGTCCCTGGGGAGCCTTATTTCATATTGAATCAGCAGTCTCTTACTTGCTCCGGAAGCCACACTTAACCCCGGCCCTACCTGTGGCTCTGTCTCTGCCTGGGCGTCTCTCAAAAGAGTGGGTGGAGCCCGCAGAAATGGACCCCTCTGTGTGAGGTTCCTTCCTCTTGCACCTGCCGAGTCTGGCCGTGACCATTCCTTCCATCAGGGTTCGAGGAGCACTCAGATTTGTGGGTCTTCAATTTGCCTTTCCTCTTGGGTCCTCTTGGGTCCTCTTGGGTCCTCCCCTCTTGGGTGTGTCCGTCCTTCCTTCTGCTCATGTATTTGGTTCTGGGTTCGTATCTTACCTGCCATTTGGTTAATAGAATTTGGTGTCATCCATGTGGAAAAGGGTGGGCTATGTGTTTTGTTCCAAACCTGCTTTTGTCGATCGCTCTCACACTGGCAGTGTGGCCTTTCAGACCGCGGGACAGCAGCCACATCCCGTCCCCAGTGGACAGTCCACGGCGCTCCTCTCGGGCCCCCACACGTACAAAAATCCTTTGAAATGTTTTCTTGGCAGGTGGTATTTTATATTTTCTCCCATTTAAATCTACCTGTTCCTTTTATATCTAGGTACATAGTATCTCCTACGAAAGGTCTGCCTCTGGTGGCTCAGGGTTTTCACTCTGCAGGGGCCCCGCTCTCCTCTGCTGCGTGGCCTCGCAGAAGCCCAGGAAGCAGCTGCCTGCCCCGCATTTGAGGAGAGTCCACACCAGATCAGGCACATAAAGAGTGCGGGCCACAGTCCTTACCCTGAGCCGGGGAGTCCGGGAGCTCTGAGAGTGGACAGGTGTCCTCGCTCATCTGGTGGCAGACCTTGCCCGACACGATGCGAGGCTGTTTGTGATCCTGTGTTTACTCCTCGTGTGGCTGGTCGTGCACCCCCCCCCCCCGCCGCAGAAGGATGACCACCTCCGTTCCGGGGTGCTGTTCTGACCCCTGCTATATTGCCTTCTAAAACCAAAATGCTTCTGAATTCCTAGACCACATCTGGCCCCAGGGGTGTTGGGTAAGGGGTCATAGACCAGGATTGTCACCCCCATTTTACAGATGCAGCACCTCTGGCACGGTGTCCGCGTTTCCCCATGGTGCCGTCACGTGGTGCCCACTCACCTGCCTTAGTGCTGGGGCCGCTGTGGCGGAAGTGGCTTCTTGTGTAGGTAATATGCAGGCATTGGTTTGTTGTTCTGTTTTGTTTTTATTAAAGCAAGATAAAGACCTGCACAGAGATGTCAAACTATGCTACCATTGTCGACACGGTCAGGGGTTTTTTGATGTTTATTCTTTTTCTTAGATGAAAGTCTTTTCTTTAAATTTTTTTAATGTTTATTTTTGAGAGAGAGACAGAGTACAAGCGGGGGAGGGGCAGAGAGAGAAGGAGAGACACAGAATCCAAAGCAGGCTCCGGGCTCCCAGCTGTCAGCACAGAGCCCGACGTGGGGCTCGGGCTCATGAACCAGAGATCATGACCTGCGCCGAAGTCGCGTACTTACCCACCTGAGCCCCCCAGGCGGCCCGTACGTGGTCATATTTGGCATATCGCCTCCGAGGTAGTTTTCTGTGAGGCACCACACGGAGCACCGTGAGCGCACCGCCTGGCACGGAGCAGCCTGTTCTGCTGGAGGACAGACAGTCCGGCTCGAGTGGGGCCTGTGTCCGTCGTCACACTGCCAGGATTCAAGTCCAGTCTCCCCCCGCAGTCCTATTTTGTAACGCCGGTAAAGTGCAGTGTGCCCTGTGTGTGTGTTTCCCTGAGTGGGCACTGGTAAGGAAACACGAGCAGCCTGGTGTCCCTCAGTTCTGAAAACTCCAGAGAACCTTGCCCACCCCCTGAGTTCCACGTGGGGCTGTTAGTCTGTCCCGGGTGGGGGTCGCTGAGAGCCTCACGGGTGGTGTCCCAGGTGTGCACCCAGCAGGTCGCCGAGAGCCTCACGGGTGGTGTCCCAGGTGTGCACCCAGCAGGTGCACTGCGGACCCCTAGGGCCTCTCCTTGTCCTCTGCTCTCCGCTGTGTCAGCTTGTGGCCCTGCGACCAGGAGGTCTGAAAGACACACGTGATGTGACAGCCGCAGACAACTGAGTGGTGTGGATTTGGCTGTAGAGACGTCGTTCTTGACCTGTGTTTGCATGAGGCTGCACAGTTGAAGTCATTTTAATTAACCATCACTTGAAAAGCCATCGTACTGAATAAACGAATGGTTAGTTGAAATTTCAGCTGTTGGGGTGCCTGGGTGGCTCCGTTGGTTGAGCGTCTGGCTCTTGATTGCAGCTCAGGTCATGATCTCACAGTTTGTGAGTTCGGGCTCTACATCAGGCTCTGTGCTGACAGCTTGAAGCCTGCTTGGGATATTTTCTCTCTCTCTCTCTCTCTCTCTCTCTCTCTCTCTGCCCCTCGCCCACTCTTTCTCTCTCAAAATAAGTAAATAAACTTAAAAAAGAAAAAAATTCACGGTATTATATCGCTGAGTGGTCTCTTCATCGTTCTTGTTTGTTTTATAATTAGGGAAGAGACCATACGTCCGGCACATGACAGGGAAGCCCTCTGTCTCCTTCCCAGTGGGTGTGGGGACTAGACGGCGGCAGCCAGTAGGTAGATGCCGTCTTGTGTTCTTTGGGTCGACGTTGCGTCGTGTGCGCCTTACGTGTGGTTCGAGCGTTCTTAGCCCTGAGCCTTCTTGGCAGCCGCACGGAACACAGCTCACGTGACCGCTCGCCAGTCTTAAGATGGGCGGGCCGGTCTCCTCCCTGCTCTGGCAAGTATTGAAAGTAGCAGCTTTGCAGAAATACCTCTTTAAATCTGATCCAGTGCGCTTACTGGGAGCCCTGACCCATGCAGGGCCACCTCCTGGGCTCCTCAGCTCAACCCCTGGGCCTTGATTTCCAAGTAAAGCAGGAGGACTTGAATGGGGTGTAACCTTTCAGAAGAGTTTTGTTATCCTAATGAGAAAGAAGAATCTGCCCTCGATTTGAGCAAATAGCACCTGAGGTGTTAGTCTAGCAGCCATCGGGGTGAGAGCAGTTGTAAAGAGAAGGTGCCCGGGGCACCAGGGGGCTCAGTCCTTGAGCATCTGACTTGATTTCCACTCAGGTGGTGATCTCGAGGTTCGAGGAGCCCGCGTTGGGCTCCCTGCTGACCGTGTGGAGCCCGCTTGGGATACCCTTTCTTTCTCCCCTTCTCTGCCCCGCCTCCTCAAAAATAAATGGGGAATCATCTTAAAAAAAAAAAAAAAAAAAAAAAAAAAAAAAAAAAAAAAAGATTCTAAAGGACCAGAGGAGAGAGGTGTCCCATCATGCCGCAGGAAGCAAACACATCTCTGAGACCTAGGAAATCCTCCTGCGGTTGGACGTGGGGAGGTGGTGCTTTAAGGGTGTGGACTTCCACTTAGAATGTGAATATGTTCTGGAGGTCTAAAAAAAATTCTTGAATAAATTATTTAATCTTTTATTTATCTAATTTTTAAACATTTATTTTTGAGAGAGAGAGACGGAGAAAGACAGGTCACGAGCAGGGGAGGGGCAGAGGGGCAGAGAGAGGGAGACACAGAATCCGAAGCAGGCTCCAGGCTCCAGGCTCCGAGCTGTCAGTCCAGAGCCCGACGCGGGTCTCAAACTCACGGACCGAGAGATCATGACCTGAGCCGAAGTCGGCCGCTTAACCGACTGCGCCACCCAGGCGCCCCAATTATTTAATCTTTTAAAAGAAAGAAATTATTCTGTTGGCTCTTAAGGGATATAACTTTCAGGCATTTGTTCTTTTCACTATAAAATGCTTTTTTATTTTTATTGTTTTTAACGTTTATTTGTTTTGAGCGAGTGGGGGAGGGGCAGAGAGAGAGAATCCCAAGCAGGCTCTGCACTGTCAGCACAGAGCCCAACGCAGGGCTTGATCCCACGACCGTGAGATCGCAGCCCGAGGCAACATCAACGGTCAGATGCATAACCGACTGAGCCACCCAGGTGCCCCATAAAATGCTTTTTTAATAAGTAAATATTTTTCAAGCAGAAGTTATACAAATATTTATGCTTTAAAGATAAGCCACCCTGGGGCGCCTGGGTGGCGCAGTTGGTTAAGCGTCCGACTTCAACCAGGTCACGATCTCACGGTCCGTGAGTTCGAGCCCCGCGTCGGGCTCTGGGCTGATGGCTCAGAGCCTGGAGCCTGTTTCCGATTCTGTGTCTCCCTCTCTCTCTGCCCCTCGCCCATTCATGCTCTGTCTCTCTCTGTCCCAAAAATAAATAAACGTTGAAAAGCTAAAAAAAAAAAAAAAAAAAAAAAAAAAAAAGATAAGCCACCCTAAATCCAGGGTTTGACCTTAGTATTTTTCATTCAACAAATGTTTGCTGACCATTTGCTATAAGCCCAACACTGTGCTTGGACCGGTGTCACAGTCCTGCCTGGTCTGAACCCCTGTTCAGTCAGGCGGGACCGTGGCGGCCGTGACCCATGCTGTGAGGACCTGTGGTGAAAGGAGCCGGGGTGGGGAGGTCCTGAGGCAGGAGACTCATCCACCGTCTGAAAATGAGGTGAGTCCGTGTTAGTGTCGGTGGAGAAGGAAGAAGAATGCGGGCTGGCTTCTGAAAGGTCACTGCCAGGAGGGCCCGTGGGGAGTTGGGAGGGAGCGGGGCACCAGTGGGGAAGTGGCTTCCAGACCAGGCGGCACTTTGGATGAGGGGGGAGACGCTTTGGTGATCCCCATGCCCTGCCCTGTGTGACCCCTTGGGTTGACTGTCCTAGAGCATCCTGGACAGGGTAGGAAGGGCTAGGACGGGCCAGGACAGGGTAGAACTGGCTAGGTCGGGCCAGGACAGGTTAAGACTGGCTGGGATGGGCCAGGACAGGGTAGGATGGGCCAGGACAGGGTAGGGTGGGCTAGGACAGGCCAGGACAGGTAGGACAGGCTAGGACGGGCCAGGACAGGCCAAGACAGGCTAGGATTGGCTAGGTCGGTCCAGGACAGGTAGGACGGGTCAGGACAGGCCAGGACAGGCTAGGACAGGCCAGGACAGGGGGGCGGTGAGGAGCTCCGTCCTGGACCTCCCAGCAAAGATGTCAGCAGGGCACCTGCATACCCGCTTTGGGGCTGGGGGTGACCCCTGGAGATGGCGTCTCAACTGAGGGGCACAGGGGAGTGTCTGCAGGTCTGTGGTGACCGAGGCCCTGGGATAGTGGAGGCTGGACAGGGCTCAGAGCAGTAGTCCGGGTCATGGCTGTTCTTTGGAATTCCTGGGGGTGAAACCCACCCAGGCTTTGGTGTTTGTAAAGCTCCCACATTACACCAAAGCTTGGCAGCCAAGGTTAGGAGCTCTGGCCTTAGAAGGCAAGGTTCTGGGTCTGAGCCTGACCTCCCTCCTCCCCACCCCTAGACTCTTAAACTAGAGGACGTTGGTTTTGAGTTTTAAGAACAAAATATTTTGGCTTATAAATACCGTTTAAATGCACAAAGTTCTAAAAGTGTGAAGTGTCACCGTTTTCTGCCCAGCATTGCTGCCGGAGGGAAAACAGAGAAGCCTGCTTTGTACTGAGCATTACGTACTTCACGGAGCGTTTTTACTTGGTGTTTTGTGTCACGCCTCGACCTTGTAGACGAGCTCTGGCGTATCCCCATCGAGGTTTGGAAAAACTGACCTGAATTGCCAAGTGGCCGAGACACCAGTCTCGTGAAAATACCCTTTCTAGTCTGGGGAAGCCGTGCCTGTTGGTGGACGCCCTCCACCTCCCCTCTCTCGTTAAGGTGATTGCCTTTTAAGTCCCGTTGTCCTCTGTTTCAGGATGACGATCTGGAGGAGGGCGAAGTAAAGGACCCCAGTGACAGGAAGGTGAGGCCGCGTCCCACCTGCCGATTCTTCATGAAAGGTAATTGTCTGTGGGGCCTTGTGTGGTCTTGGCTTTTCCTGGGACTGTGGTGGTGGCTCAGCCCCGCCCAGTGCCCGGGAGCCTGTGCAGGGCTGTTCTTGGGGCCAGACCGTGACCGTGGCAGGGTGGCACCGTCCTTTGCTGGTCCTTGCCTCCTTTGACTGACTTGGAGGGGCCAGCCTGGCCGTTTCCACTTTGTGGCTCCAGGCCCTCCGTGACAGCAGAGCTGTGACCACCCTGTTTATGAGTAGTCCTTGTCCTAAGGCAGACGCCCCGGGCACCAGGGGCCTTACCTCTGTACGGACAGTTGCTGCTTGTTTGTAAACGTATCCAAGTACATCCTTCATTTGGAATGGATGTCCAAATAGCAAAGAGATAGCCTCTGAGTGCAGCAAGGTCGCTCCCTCCTGGAAGGTGAGTGGTGCCAGCCACGTGGCCGTGACAGGTCACAGACTAACGCCACGGGTGACCTGGAACGGCGGCGAGAACCCCAGTCCGTAAGGGTCTTGCGGCCACGCGGCGGTAGTTGGGGCCTATTCCTGGTCACTCCGCCTTCTCCTTGGACAGGTGGGAAGGCGTCTGTCTTTGTCTCAGCCTCGCTGGCCCTGGGCGCCCCGCTCCCTGGCCCGGCCCGCGCGTCTGCTCCGAATTTCACAAGAGCTTCCTGTACTTCTTTTCCAGATGTTGGGACAGCACTGTCCACTCCTCTCCCACCAATATCACATCCCATACCACTCAGAGGCCAGGTTAAAGGTACAGAGTATACGCTTTTCCCTCTCTGCTCCAGAGGCCAGACTTCCTTCTCCTGGATCCAGAATACTGATGTGAAGCCAGAAGAAGGAAGGGGGAGGCTCTGAGGGGCAGAGAGCGCTTGTGGATCCCAGTTCTTAGTGGCGCTCGATGAGGCTCCCGGGACCTTTGCGGACCGCGGGGGGCAGTGGTGGGGGGTGGGACAGGAGGGGCACGGTGGAGTCCCATCTTGCCGAGAGGACAGGCTCTGCACTTGACTGGTCCTCGGAGGACCCTCTGCCTAGACCTCAGTGACGTGACGCAGAGGGTGCTTGGGGCCTGGGTCAGCTCACTCCTCAGGGTGTGGGCTCCTAGCCTGTGCCGTTTACCTGCACAGTTTTGTTTTGTTTTGTTTTAAGTTTCTTGATTTTGAGAGAGAGAGAGCAGGTCGGGGAGGGGCAGAGCGAGGGGGAGAGAGAGAAGCCCAAGCAGGCTCTGAACTGTCAGCACGGAGCCCAGCGCGGCACTCAGGGCTCAGACTCACCAACCGCGAGATTATGACCTGAGCCGAAGTCGAGTCAGACGTTTAACCGACTGAGCCCCCCAGGCGCCCCACGTGCGTGTTGTTTCTGCCAAGTGGAGATACTTGGACTCTTGAGTTAGACATGCCCGTGATGGGTCCTTTGCACAGCACGTGCTCTTCAGGAGGGTGGCTGGCGGTTGTCTCGTGGACAGCATAGTCACCCTAAGGACACAGATGAGTGTGTGGTATGTTTTAGAAAGTAAATTCTTGACAGTTCTTTACAAGCTTTAGTATTTGAAATATCAATATTTCAGAAAATTTTGAGCAGAAGACCTCTTTTCCATAATTACGTGGGAGTAAATGGTGTCAGCCCGCCGAAACTCCTCACGGGGAGATGCACTTACACATGTACGTAGATGCGAACGCAGTCATTTCCGGTTGGCACCGCTGTGGAATTGTTCAGAAGCCTGGCCGGCCCGTCGGGACTAGCCGCGGGCTTCCACGACAGGAGGCGGCACCGTCCGTCCGCACCGCGGAGGCTCCGGTCCAGGTGCTCCTGGGGGTCACAGCCCTGAGGTCGTTTCCGGAGTTTAGCGACAGAAGCACATGGACCGACGGAGTTGGTCCCGTGTTGGGACCGCGGATGAGCATCCTCGGAGGTACCTCGTGGCACGCACAGGGCACCGTCTCCGCGGATGACTCCAGGGCCACATGTTAGTGGGAGGGAGGTCCCTCCAGAATGCTCAGCTTGGGTTTCAGAGCCCAAGGCCAGTGGCAGGGCTCGCTGCAGAGAAATCTGAGGCCAGTGGCACCCGGCCTTCTCGGCAACTTGGCTGGGCAGAGTCAGTAACTTGTCTCAGCCTCGGTTTTTGAGTATAGATTTACCTTTCCCCCTGGATTGTTGAGTGACTCTGCGGAGTAGTGGGATACAGCATAGGAAGAAACGGTTGATTCTTTGGGCGTGCCGAAACACATCTCTCGCTTTTTTTTTTTTTTTTTTTTTTTTTTTTTTTTGAGCAAGTTTTTGGGTGAAAATGTTTTTGCTTACCTGCAATTTTATAAGCTTGGTGTTCCATTGAGACAAATCGTGTAAGTTCCCTTCAGGAGCAGGAGAAGTCACTTTAGAAATAAAACAGAGTTTGTCGTGTTTGACGAAGATGGGGAGAAAGGGGACCTTCACACCCTGCTGGTGGGGACGTGACCTGGTGCAGCTGCTGGAAGACAGTCTGGCGGCTCCTGAGGACACGAGCGTGTAGGACCATACGTGACCCCATCGATTCTGCTTCTAGATCTCCACCCGAGAGAGATGAAAACGTACGTCCACCCAAAAACTTGTGCACAAATGGTCGTAATAGCAGTGTTCGAAACAGCCCATGAGTGCACACAGCGCCCGTGTCTGTCAGCTCATAAATGGTCAGACAGCGTGGTCCGTCTGTACGGTGGAATATTACTCGGCCACAAGAAGAGTGGAGTACTGGGACCACAGCACGGATGAACTGTGAGGACGTCATGCCGAGCGAAAGATGCCAGACACAAAAGGCCTCCTCGCGTGCAAACTGTCCAGGATAATCCACAGAGGCAGGAACTGGATTAGCCGTTGTCTAAACTGAGGAGCCTGGAGGGAGGGGGAGTGGCTACGGGCAGTGGGGGTGATGGCTAATGAGTGCAGGGTTTCCTTCTAGGATGATGGTTGGACAACCTTGCGCGTATGTGCTGAAACCCGCGAAATTGTTCGCTTTAGATTGGGACATTACACGGCATGTAAGTTATATCTTAATTTGAGGTTTCTTCCTGAGGAAGTTTGTTAGTTATAGTTCTATTAAAAGATACCCCCGGATTAATCATTCGTTGCCCAAATGGGTACATTGATATTTGTGGCCATTGGCAAGAAAACACAGGAACATAGGTTGAAACGTCTTTAAGCACCAGTACTTTGTTTACGATATGTTTTTACCTCTGGTGTATTTATGTTAAGTCATCGAGATGGGAAGCTCCCCCTACAGTGATGGAAATAACGTTTTCTTGAAACTATGTCCTACGTTGGGTTTCTGATTGGGCCAGCGATCAATAGCGCCCAGCCCATTCTGCGGGACAGGCCTCCTGGTCCCTGCTCCTTCCCGTTCTTTCTCCCTCTCCCTTTCTTCCCTGTCCCCCTCCCCCCGCCCCCCCACAATTGGATAAAATGCACCTCGTGAAATTTACCATTGTAACTATTTTTATTTTTATTCTTATTTTTATTCTTATTTTTATTTATTTATTTATTTTTTTGAGACAAAGCATGAGCAGGGGAGGGGCAGAGAGAGGGGGAGGCACAGAATCTGAAGCGGGCTCCAGGCTGTGAGCTGTCAGCACGGAGCCCGATGTGGAGCTCGAACCCACAGAGTATGAGATCATGACCTGAGGTGAAGTCGGGTGCTCAACTGACTGAACCACCCAGGTGCCCCTGTAACTATTTAAACTTTTTAAATTTTTTTTTTTTGAGAAAGACAGAGACAGAGCCTGAGTGGGGGAGGGGCAGAGAGAGGGAGACACAGAATCCGAAGCAGGCCCCAGGCTCCAAGCTGTCAGCACAGAGCCCGATACGGGGCTCGAACTCATGAACCGTGAGATCACGACCTGAGGCGAAGTCGGACGCTCAGCCGACAGAGCCCCCCAGGGGCCCCTCCATCGTAACTCTTTTTAAGTGTAGGGTTCTGTGGTGTTGAGTACATTCACATCGGGGCCATCGCCACCATCATCTCTGAAATTCTTCATCTTGTACGAGGGAAACTCTGTAGCCATTAAACAATAACCTCCCATTCCTCCCTCCCCCAGCCCTGGCGACCACCCTCCTACTGTCTGTGAACGTGACTCCTTCCGGTGCCCCATATCAGTAGAACGGTGCGATGGTTGTCTTTATGTGACTGTCTTATCTCACGTGGCAGCGTCCTCGAGGCCCCCCCTGTGTTTTGGCGCGTGTCAGAATCTCCTTTCTTCCCAAGGTTCGTCCTCCGCTGCGTGTGCACCTACTTGTCCAACAGCGGACCGGGGTTCTTTCATCTTCCGGCTGCTGGGAACGGTGCGGATGTTTCTTCGAGACCCCGCTTTGAAATTCTGGGGGTGTGTACGGTACACTTGCTGGGTCGTGCGGTGGCTTTAGTTTCCGTTTCTTGAGGCACCTCCTCGCTGTGTTTTGGGGCAGCCCTGCCACGTTGTGCTCCCGACAGCCACGTCCTCCTCCCCTACGCTTGGCGTTTTCTGACTTTTTGAGAGAGAGCATCCCAGTGGGTGTGCTTCTGATTTCCATTCCCACGGTCCCGGGTGACGTGAGCATCTCTTCGTGTGCTTATTGGCCGTTCAAAGAGGATCCCCTCCTGGGAGAGGTGTCTGTTGCCCACTTTGGAATCTCTGCATTCTCCTTTATGTTTAGTTTTTTTTTTTTAATGTTAGTTATTCTTGAGAGAGTGAAACAGAGCATGAGCCGGGGAGGGGCAGAGAGAGAGGGAGACACCGAATCCGAAGCAGGCTCCAGGCTCCCAGCTGTCAGCACAGAGCCCGACACGGGGCTCGAAGCCACGGACTGCGAGATCATGACCTGAGCCAAAGTCAAATGCTTAACCAACCGAGCCACCCAGGCACCCCTCTCCGTTATGTTTAAAGCAGCAGGTCTTAAACTGCGGCCTGTGAACCCCTAGCATTTCTTCAGACTCTCTTCGAGGTCAAAACGACTTTTGTGACGCTGAGATTACTAGCAGTCAGGTGCTGGCCCCGTGCACTCGGAGTGACAATGGCAATTTCATTTAATGGTGTCTGTGATAGAGCAGTGAGAATTCTTTTACGCTCAAGTACAGGTCTTTAAAAAAAAAAAAAAAAAAAAACCTTAATTTCCGTGCCAGAAAATTTGCCTGTTCTAAGCATGCAGTTCAGTGGTTTTTTTTTAAATTTACCAAGTTGTGTGGCTGTCACACAGTCCAGTCCGGGAACGTCTCCATCACCCCGGAAGACCCGCAGCCCTCAGCGCTGGTCTTTCGCACATTCTGCGAGATGATCTGGGAAGTACTCACGGAGCACCTCTGCCGCAGTGAGGCGTGGACGTCATCCCCAGGGAGGGCGCACGAGGTTCGTGCCGTGGGCTGGGCCAGCCGGCGTCCCCACGGGGACCGGCCACGGTGGCCCGGAAATGAGCAGAGCCTGCCGCTCCCCGGACAGCGGCTGACGGCGTCCGTCGCTAATGATGAGGTTTGGGCTCCCGGGCTCTCGAGTGGAGATCAGAGTTTGGGAGAGCCCGAACCTCCAGCCGCGGCGTTTAGCGACCGTCGCGCGATGTCACCGACTCCCTTCTGGGCAGAAGGTCTGCTCACGGGTTGAGATAGACCGGTGGGCGTGAGTACAACAGTTGGAAGTGCTCGGCGAGAAGGTGACGGACCCCCGCACGGCGGCTGGCGGCCAGAAGCCTTCGCCGGACCAGGTCGGTGTAGTGTCGAGGGCGCGAGGGGTTCTTCAAAGCCTGCTGAGTCCCCTCCCTCATCTGGCTGCATCGCCCCCCAAGACTGCGTTTTCTTCGCCTGCTCCAACGGCAGCGACACTGCATGGCAGGGTGAACAAAGAAGCCGACGGGGGACAGGCTGCCTTCCGTTTAACGGCAGGATTCAAGCAGTCTGCGAAAAGGAGGGCGCCTGAGAGGCTCTGTCGGTCAGGCTTCCGACTCTTGATTTCAGCTCCCGTTGGGATCTCACAGCTCGGAGTCAGCGCCCCGAGTCAGACTGTATGCTGACGGCATGAAGCCTGTTGGGGATCCTCTGTCTCCCTTCCCTCCACCCCTCTTCCATCCCTTCCTCCCTCCCTTCCCCTGTCTCTCTCTCTCTCTCAAAATAAACAAACATAAAAAAGAGGTTTGCAGAAAGAAAAGTAACGCTCATAGTAGTGTTTTTGAAATAAGAGTTTTGTTTTTTTTTTAATGTTTTTAATTTATTTTTGAGACAGAGAGAGACAGAGCATGAGCAGGGGAGGGGCAGAGAGAGGGGGAGATACAGAATCTGAAGCAGGCTCCAAGCTCTGAGCTGTCAGCACAGAGCCTGACACGGGGCTCAAACTCACAGAGTATGAGATCATGACCTAAGCTGAAGTCGGACACTCAACTGACCGAGCCACCCAGGCGCCCCTTTCAGTGGCATTTTTTTAAAACCATGAAGCACTTTAAACTTCTCTGTCCTTGTGATCCCTGTGTTTATTTTCTATTCTGAGTTATTCAGGCTAACAGGAAATGGGACCAGTGACTAAGGCCGCTGTCTTACTCAGAAATAACAAAGTGGCAGGACACTTTGCAGATACAGTGAGTGCGCGCGGCCTCTAGAAATGATACCAGCACTGCCTTGTACTGACACCGGTCAGACTGACAGTCAGAAATTTAAAAATCTGCTTGTGTTTCTGGGCCCACCACACATACACGCTCACACGTGTGCCCACAGACACGATGCTGTCTTCGGACATTTCACACTGCGGGAGAAGTGGATTCCTCCTCGGTCAGGTGTGTGGTTGTGGCCAGCAGGGCCCTGGCCTGGGAGACGTGGCTTTGGTTTCCTCTCGTCTCGGGGTTTAGTTTCTTTGATTTCTGCAGATTTGTGTCTGTTTCGCCGATCGTGGGTTTGGTGGGATTGAACACGCAGGTTCCTTCTTTGTAGATCTGTTATTCGGGGGGAAAAAAAGCAAGGCTCAACACCAAGTGTATAAATGACCAGGAAAAAGTGGGGACGGCTACACCGTGGATTGATTGGTTGGTCGATCCTCCCCCAGTCAATTGGTGACTGGCTCTGGTAGGAGGCCCTGGAGGCCTGGAGGTGGCGCTAACTTTCAGAGTGTTTGCATATGTTTTGTGTGTACGTTACTTTGATTTCATACATTTGCTTTTCAGTTAAGAACTGACGTTCAATTAAGAACTGACGTTCAGTTAAGAACGTCATCGGTGCCTTCAAAGCCCTGTGTAAACCATCATGAAGAAACTCACGCCCTCGTCCTGACGGCGTGACCCGGCTTCCACTTTCCTTGTTTCTTTCTGGCCAGCGTCCTCCCATAATTGTCAGCCCGTGTATTCGTCCAGAGTCACAGTCCACACGAACTCTGTTTGTGAAGTTTCTTTTAGAAGTAGAAGGCCATGGGGGGGTTAAAATAAGATTTATTCTTCCAGTTTCTAGAGAATATTTTCGCCTAAACAAAATGCTGGGGTTTTTTTTAAGTTCATTTCTTTATTTTGAGAGAGCGCAAGTGGGAGAAGGGGAGAGAGAGAGTCCCAGGCAGGTGCCACGCCACCCGTGCGGAGTCTCTTGCGGGGCTCGCCCCTACAAAATACTTTTTTAAATTACGAAAGCGTTGTATACTGACAGAGTCAGGACAGTAAAAGGTAGAAGTCTTTCTACCATCCGACAATTCGGGGTGCTTCGTTCCAGGCTTTTTTCTACACAAAAATTCACTCTTAAAAAGGCTAGTCAGTGATTGGCTCCGTCGGTGGAACGTGTGACTCTTGATCTTGGGGTCTTGCGTTCGAGTCCCATGTTGGGTACAGAGGCGACTTGAAGATAGACTCTTAGAGTAAAAAGGCCAGCGGGAGCACACAGCTTCTGCCGCCCTCTTCCGTGGGTGTGCCGACCCACACCACCCTCCGTGGGCACCCGTCCCGGTGGTGCGGGTAGGCCTCCCCTGCCTCCACCCGGAGCAGCCTTCTCTTCGCCTCTGGTGGCCGGCAAGGGTCTCCGCCCACCCTGGAGCAGAGGGTCCAGGAGGACGGGCTCCTGTCACCTGCCGGAGACTCGGGGGGCCACCCGCTGCTGCTCTTCTCCCTCGTGCTCCCCCTGCCTGTGGCAGTAGCAAAAGGTCTTTTTTGTCAGTAGGCTCATGGGAGACGTTTTTGATTTTCTTTTGGAAATATTTTAAATACAAAAAAGAAAGGGAGGGAGGGAGGGAGGGAGGGAGGGAGGAAGGAAGGGAGGAAGGAAGGAAGAACACCCAGATTAACAAACCTATTTATCCGCCACCCAGTTACATGTTTTAGGTTTAAAAAGTCATAGAAAAGCTGGCACCTATATTAGTACTTTTCTGCGCTCGGAAAGTTTCTGCAGTAAGCCTGTGTGATCCGTTAGTCTAACTACACGGCAGCGAGGATGCCGTGTGAGTTCTCACAGGCTTAAAAGGCAGAGCACTTGATAGCATTTGGAATTCTTTATTTAGATACAGGACTGCATAGTCTGTTTTCTTTAAACCTCTCTGAGACTCTGGGATTTTGAGCCCCCTGTAGTATAATATTTCCCAAACTCTGACTTCTGCGTGAATTTTAGGGGCGCCTGGGTGGCTGGCTCAGTCAGTTGAGCGTCCGACTTCGGCTCAGGTCGCGATCTCACGGTTCGTGAGTTGAAGCCCCATGTCGGGCTCTGTGCTGACAGCTCGGAGCATGGAGCCTGCTTCCCATCCTGTGTCTCCCTCTTTCTCTGCCCCTAACCCACTCGCATTCTGTCTCAGTCTCTCTCAAAAATAAAAATAAACATTAAAAAAAAAAATAAGAATTTTAAATGGGCAGCCCGGGCGGCTCGGTCGGTTAAACGTCTGACTTTGGCTCATGTCATGGTCTCGAGGTTCGTGAGTTCAGGATCCACCTCAGGCTCTGTGCTGTCAGTGAAGAGCCTGCTTCAGACCCTCTGTCCCCCTCTCTCTGCCCCTCCCCCCACTCATGCTTGCTCACACGTGCATGCTCGCTCGCTCGCTCTCAAAAATATTTTAAAAAACAATTTTTAAAGTCATTTTCACATTTCCAGAGAAGTAATTTTAAGCATACTTTATTTCACATTTAACTCAGATCAATTCGTTAGTAAGTTTTAATGCAAGTTAAAATATTCATGATGTTTAAAAGGTAAATTTAGCTTTTTTCTGAATATCAAACAATTAGTTCTCTGTAATTTGTATGAGGAAAACTATGTTTTGTCAACAGAAACATTTTCATGGAGTATCATATTTAGGAGTGAATATACGGGGGGCGCCTGGGTGGCTCTGTCAGTTAAGCATCTGATTCTTGAGTTCCGCTCAGGTCATGATGTCACGGTCTGTGGGATCGAGCCCCCTGTCCCGCTCTGTGCTGACAGTGTGGAACTCTGCTTGGGATTCTCTCCGTCTCTCTCTCTCTCTCTCTCTCAAAATAAGTAAACATTTTTAAAAAGTGAATATATATCAAAAGATGGTTTAAATTTTAACTACGTGTTAACCTGTTGAAAACATTTTTAAATCATTTAGATACTGTATGCTATATTTATTTTTGAGCTTGTATAGATACTACCTGTTCAAAAAATTACATTTTTATTTTATTTTTAAAATTTTTCAACATCCTCTTTATACCCAACATGGGGCTCGAACTCATGACCCTGAGATCAAGAGTTGCATGCTCCACTAACTGAGCCAGCCAGGTGCCCCCCAAAATTAATATTTTAAAAACTGATTCACTTACTGGTTAAATTGAAACGTGGGCTTCTTGCCTTCTGCTCTGGAAAATCAGGCAGTTTCCTTGAACGATATTGGTGTTCTGTCACCAAGTAATTCTAAAAGATATTTTTTATAAACACCCAGATTATTAGGGTTGTCTATGTGTTTTCTCGTTAATACATTTTTTAAGTCCAGAAATGTCCTGAAATGGTATGTGAGGCTTTGGTGGGAGAAACACAGACGTCCAGAGCTGGTACAGACACCTGGAGACTGACTGGCAGAATTCTGGAAGCATCCTTCGATGCTTCTCTGTGATGGCTGTTTCAGTGTGCGTGGTTTTTTGAGTCCGAATAAATCAGGCTCCTCCTTGCATACCTCCGAGCCTTTCTGGGGGTGCAGGGTCGCCTGTGATTGGGAAGCTCTCGGACTTTTTCTATTTTTAGGGGGAAATGAACTACTCACACAGTCACTTAGGAACAGGGACCACGTTTCCTCCACCGCATAACCTCAGTCCCTTTCGGGAGCACTCAGGAAGTGCTGCTCTCAGGAAGCTCCTTAGCCCGGGGCCGGTCCGGGCCTGCCTGCCAGGAGCCCCGCGCGCGCACGCGTGTGTGAGAAGGTGGAGGCACGGGGCGGGGGGTCTTTGCTGTGCTCGGTTCAGGCGTGAAGGGTGAGCCCAGGCAGCCCAACTCTGAGCCCGACCCCGCCACCACCGCTGCCTGACTCCGGGCCCGTTCGGACTCGGGTTCGCACAGCCTGTGGGGTGGCGAGGGCGCCCTGTGTGGCACCGCATGGGCCCCCGGCGAAGCTGCCGCTCCTGGAGCCGCTGTGGGCAAAGCGGGCAGGAAGCTGACCTCGTGTGCTCCGATTGGCTCCCCTTTCTGACCTGGCTTTTGTCTCCACAGGGAACTGCACGTGGGGAATGAACTGTAGGTTTATACACCCCGGAGTCAACGACAAGGGCAACTATTCCTTAATCACCAAAGCCGAACCTTTCCCGCCTAATGGTGCCCCACCTCTTGGACCTCACCCGCTGATGCCTGCCAACCCCTGGGTGCGTGAACCCCTCTCTTTCTTTCGTTGCTAACGGACGGGACAGCTAAGCTCTCCGAACCTTCTGCTTACAGCCCATCGGTACACCTTGTGTAAAAGGCACCTCTGTGACGTCACGGTCACTGGGTCACCTTCCAGATGCTTCCGTGTCTCCGTGAGGAGGCAACCCTAGGCTCAGGGCAGCAGGTCAGGGGCCACACTGAGGCTTGGAGTGCCAGGGGCGTGCGGCCGATAACCTTCTAGCTGGTGTTCTTGCTCCCGTCTCTTTGTAGATTTTGAGGTTTTGCTTGCTTTCTCAACTTTTCCCTTCTTGTTTCTTAATAGGGTGGGCCCGTAGTTGATGAAATTTTGCCTCCACCCCCTCCAGAGCCCCCCACGGAGAGTGCCTGGGAACGAGGACTCCGGCACGCGAAGGAGGTAACTGGAGGGCCTGAGGAAAATTCTTGAGCATGAGTAGCGTTGCTTTGATTCAGAGACAGTGACTGGAAACTCAGTGAAGTCTCTGAAGTGAGGGAGCGGTTTCCTAAGAGTTAAGAGAGCTCCGTTAGTCTGTCCAAGGCCCAGGCGCGCTGTCTTCCCGTGGCTCGGGTGGCGTCACACCGCACCCCGGCTGGTGCTGCGGCCCCCGGCCTCCTGGAGCCATGGCCCGTGCGTGTGCAGGCCCATCCCTTCCCGAGACGGCCGCTGTCCCCACCCGCGCCCTCCCTCCAGGCTGTCCCGTGGCCCTGGCCGTCAAGCTTGTGGTCTGTCGCCACCAGACCTGCTTTCCAGGCCCTCACTTCACTTTCTCTCCAGTGAGGTGACAGGATAAAAACGAAACCATTCCCCTGCCTGGCTCAGCACGGAGCCCGCCCCCCACCCCCCACCGCCCTGGAACCGCTTTCTCTCCATGCTTGGGCCCCGTCACGAGCGAGTATCTGGGGCTCCCTGGCTCAGGAGGTGGCCGGCTCTGTTACCCCTTTCCAGAAGGCAAGCCAGCTCCGTAGCACCGCGTGGCGGGCCCGTCCTGCTGGTGCAGAGATGGTGTGCCTGGGCCTGGAGTCCCTTGGCCGCTCCCGCTGCCCTGGCTGGGGCGCCGTGGGGCCGCCTTTCCTGACAGCGACTAGCATTGACTTCTTCCTTCTTACGACGGTAGGTTTTAAAAAAAGCAACCATTCGAAAAGAACAGGAGCCCGATTTTGAAGAGAAAAGGTTTACGGTGACCATCGGCGAAGACGAACGGGAGTTTGACAAGGAAAATGAAGTTTTCCGGGATTGGAATTACCGCATCACGAGGGATGTCCGAGAGACAGCGTAAGGAGCCATCCCTCCTTCCCTTCTGAGGGACAGTGAAGCTGTCCCCAGCCGCGGGAGCCTCGCGCTCTTCCCTCAGGCCTCGGGGGGCCGTGCCTCCCTCTCCCCGTCCTCGGCTCGGAATGGCCTTCCCGAGATCGTGTCAGAAGCTCTGCAGGGGCTTTCCTGGGTTTTCTGTGCCGTGAAGGAAACGCCCCGGCTCTGGCAGGGCCGGGTGCCCGGGGAGGGCTCACCTCTGTGTGGCTTCCTCTGAGCTCTGCGTTTCTAGAGCTCTGCTCCGAACCCCTGGAGCCCCAGCGGTCTGCCTCTTCCCACCGTCCTCCCGGTCTCCCAGCGGCCAGGAAAACCCATGAAATTGTCACCAGAGTCCAGGAACTCGGCAGGTGTGACACTTTTCGTCGTAAATGGCCTTGTTCCTTCTCCGACACGTCCTGTTACTGGTCTGGTAGAGAAGTGCATGCGGTTGAAAGGCTTCAGGGCTCTCATGACATCCCCCCGCACCTCTTCCCGGGGGACGGTCGGCTTTGTCGTGCTCCCCTTGGAGGGGCAGACGCAGGCAGCTCTCTCCTGAGCAGCCACCGCAGCGTGGGCTCGGGTCACCGCGATCGGAGCCGGCTCTGGCACCCAGGCAGCGTCATAGCAGCGCTCCGCTCGGCCACACCTGCCGTGGGAGAGCGTGCTCACTGGGGTCTGGCCGCGGTGGCGGTGGCGGTGGGCGCAGAGAAGGGGTTCGCGGACGGGGCTTGCCTTTCAGGGTTCCGCCAGCCAGGCTGCTACTCAAAGCTCGAGGCTCGAGTCCCGCATCGTGCACCCTGCCCCCGGCTCTCTGCCTGCAGAGGACGGGGGAGGCCCTGTGCTTCACGCTTGTGTCAGGGGACAGCTCAGAGTTTGCAGCGTAGAGATTTAAAGCCGTGTTTCGGACTTGTGTGTTTTCTGATTCTGGGTGTGGAGGCCTGTCAGATCCCGGACGGGAGCGTGGCAGTCGGGACTCTGTCTGCCAGCTCCCATGGCTCCCTTCGGGTCCTGAGGCCTCACGCTTTTCTTGGGGAAAGCGCAGGTGAGGCTCCCGTCCCGCCGGGCTCAAGGGGCAGGCGGACGGTCCCAGGGGCCGGGGTGACCGGTACAGAGGGTGTGCTCTCTGAGCGTGCTCACTCTGAACGCTGGGCGAAGAGGCTCTGAACCTCGACACTCGGCCTCCCGGCCGCTGCTGGAGCAGGGGGGCCTGGAGCGTGTGCCCGCAGGGGAGCCGGCCGGCGAGTGCGGCTCTGCAGGGCGCACGCGGCCGAACCGGCGGCTGTGCCCTGGGCCTGCCCCGCGTGTGGTGCCGGCGGGTGCCGCGCTCCCTCTGCGGAGGGTCCGTGGTGCGGGACCTTGCGCCTCTAAAGCCTCTGAGGACGGCCCTCGGAGCCAAGTTTTCACTCACATTTGGTTTTTCAACGTCACTGCCCTAGAATTAACCGGGGGCTTCTGTGACACCCCTGTGTCAGGCCCCACCGGACCTCATCAGTCAGGGCCCTCTGGGAACAGGGCCCCTGCGGCGAGTGTGGGTGAGAAGGCACCTCTGCCCTGTCAGTCAGGGTCCGCTAAACACAGGAGACCCCCTGCAAACAGAAGGCAGCGGCAGCTGTAGGAAGTTGGGAGGGGGGGGCAGTTGGAAGTTCACACTGAGAAGCTGGAGGCCAGGCTGGGACTCAGGCCGCTGAGGAGGGGAGCGCTGGCCGGCTGTGCCGGCTCCCCTGTGGTGGGCGAGGAGGCCGGGGTGCCAGAGTCCTGCGGGCGGCAAGTGGCAGAGGCCAAGACAGAGAGACCCTTCTGCCCTCGGGGCCCGGCCAGCCCCTGCGGCACCTGTCGTGGGCCAGCCTCGCGTGGGGCAGTCGGGAGAACAGGGTGCTCTCGGCAGAGGGTGTGGGGGGCTCAGTCAGATACCAAGCGGACAGCTTAAAAGCAGTTCAGGGCCGTTGATGTAAAACTCAGAACCACCAGCCGTGCTGGTGTTCCCTGCCCGGGACCCCGGGGCACAACAAGCTCTGTGCCCAGGTGCTCTCCACCCGGCGACGCGGCAGGCCTGTGCGCCGGGTCCCCACGTGCGCCAGGTGACGGAAGGTGGGGAAGAGGGAAGAGGGAAGGTGGGGAAGGGCGTGAGGGACCGGCAGCACCACCAGGGGCCGGCCAGGGTGTCCAGGGAAGGTGGGGCCCCGCTGGCTAACTAACAAGCCTTCTGGGCGATCCTCGTGCCCACCCACTGAGGTTTGAGAGCCGTGGACTTCAGTTCGGGGGCCCGGGCCCCCACCTGACGTCAGGGGCGGCGTGGTCAGGCTCTGGCAGCATGGAGCTGGGTGCTCTGTTGTGGAACCAGTGGGGAAGGGTGCCCGCTCAGGAGCTCCTGAGGAAGTAGCCTGAGACGGTATGAAGCACAGGAAAACCGGTGTTTTCTTTATGCCATTTTTGGGAATTAACTTGTTTAGCAGGATCACTTAGTAAAGGTAGTGCTTTTCAGATGCCAGCCACCTTGTGGGACCTCATGCGCACAAGGTATTAAGAAATGTCACCCTGGGGGGTGGGGCGTTGGGGGGGTCAGTTGGTTACGTGTCCAACTGCGGCTCAGGTCATGATCTCGCCGTTCCTGAGTTCGAGCCCCGCGTCGGGCTCTGTGCTGACAGCTCAGAGCCTGGAGCCTGCCTCAGAGTCTGTGTCTCCCTCTCTCTCTGCCCCTCTTCCCCCCTGAAAAACAAAAAAATGATTAAAAAAAGAAAGAAATGTCACCCTGGGGTTCCCAGCCAGCTCAGTCAGTGCAAGTGCGACTCCTGACCTCAGAGCCACGAGTTCAAGTCCCGTGACTTTGATGTCATCTCTGTGCAGGAGGCTGGGGTGCGGTTAATGCAAGAACATTCACTGAGCCCACAAAGACGCCCTGACCGTTCCCTCCTTCACGTGGGGACCCTGGTGGCGGTGTCCTAAGACTCCAGGCTGTCCCACGGGAGAGAGGCCGTTACACGTTGCTTACCCGGTTTTCCAGAAACGAATTTGTCAGCACAGCCCTCCTTTGAGAGAGCACGCACCCTCACATCCGTTTGGGAAGGTGTTTCTCCCAGGGCCTGGGTTGGCCGGGAATGGTGCTGGGGCCTGGGGGGGGCCACGTTCTCTCTTGCTGTCGAGCAGCGGGCTGGGCCGCGGCAGGCCTCCGCAGCTGCTGACTGCTGTCTTACACGCGACCTGAGTGGTGGGCACTTAGGCGCTTTGGAAGATGTCTGGCCACTTGGAGTGAAAGAGAGCTGTGTCCTCCAGCAGAGCCGGCCTCGGGTGAGTCAGTCTGCCGGGGTCCTGGCCCAAGTGGGGCAGACACCTCCCAGAAGGCAGCCCGCTGGAGGCCATCGGGCGACCCAGAAGCTCAGCCTGGCAGCCTCTTGAGGTTGTGGGCACGTTGGTTCCCCCCACCAGCTTACTCACAGGGGAGAGTTGGTCTGGAGCCAGGAAATCCCTGAAAGAATGCCTGTCTGTTGCCGGACTTACATCAGGGTCCAGGGCACCCCCAGGGCAGGTCCTCTGGGTCAGTGGATAAGGTGGGATCTCCTTACCTTCCTCCCCATGGTCAGTGGCTGTCCCTTCCCCATTGAGTACAAGTCTGCCTTGGCCCCTCGGGAGGCTCCTTTATCCTACGTGCGGGGATCTGTCCCTGGACCATTTGTTTCTTCGTGAGAAAGGCAGGCCTGCAGTGTCGTGTTGTCTCAGGGTGTGTCTTTCTTGGCTGGGATTGCACATCTCTGCCTGCCTGTGCATTCGGGGACCGGTTGTCAAGCTCCGTATGGAAGCCCACCGGTGTTTTTACTGGGATTGCCCTCCATTTGCAAATTGATGGAGAGAGCTGACTTCTGGGCAGCGTCCAGTCCTGGCTGAAGACCAGAAACATGGTGTCGTGTGTTCACATGTCCTCCTTGTCTTTGAGGAGCACATTAAAGCTTTTCTCAGATAGGTTCTGCTCAGTTCTGGTTAAACGCACTTTGTTCCTCGGTGTTTCTTCTTTCTTGCTGCTGTAAAAGAGGGTTTCTCTGCTCCTTGTCCGGAGTGGTCATCTGTGCGCGTGGAGGCATCGGTCTTATGCTTCCCTGGGCCCTCTGGCTTCCTGGATCGGCTTTACCGTGCCTCAGGTTCTAGGTCTGGTGCCATTTCATTTGCGGGCGTGGGTCCTTTTCCTCCTCGCCCAGCGTCCGCAGCTTCATTCGTCTGATGGCAGCAGCCAGCCTCTGCCACGCCAGTGGATGGCCATGGAGGCCGTGGCCACCTTGCCTTTGCCCGGTCTTACAGAAATGCCCCTGTTCCCATTAGTAAGAGGTTGGCTTGAGTTCCAACGTGAGTGTGTGAGTTAAGTCTCATTAGGAAGTGTTGTCTCCAGCTCCCTGCGGTGTTTGTCATCGTAGGTGCGATCCTCTGCGGTTCTTCTCTTCAGGTCTGCCATTATGTGTGGTGTGTTCACGAATTTCCTCCTTGTGACTCATCCTCAGATTCCTGGAATAAATCCCACCGAGTCATAGCGTATTTTATTTTCTTAACGTGGTGTCGGATTCTGTTTGCTAACGTTTTGTGTAATATTTTTGCCTTAATATTCGTAAGTGATAAGATTTGCCTCTTGCTCGCTCGTTTTTCAGACTGGAGCCTTACGCAGATCCGTACTACGACTATGAAATCGAGCGCTTCTGGCGTGGCGGGCAGTACGAGAACTTCCGGGTGCAGTACACGGAGACGGAGCCGTACCACAATTACCGGGTGAGTGTGACGGTCGTGCACGTCTCCCCGCGCCGGGCCGTTTCTTAAGATTACCCCCTTTTTCATCTATGGGACTTCATATGGTTTTAGTAGCACGGGCAGAGCGTACCAATTTCAAGTCCAGACTGACTGTTCGTGGAGAAACAGTTCGGATCCACAGGTTAAATTGGTGGTGGTTTCCTTTAGTTGGTCTGTGCCCTTGCTCTGGGTTTGTTAAAAACTAGGTTTGCCGACTGGATTATTGATACAGCTCTGCATGGGACTGTGTTCTGCCCTCCTGAGTGTGTTACTCCCTCAGGTTCCCTAGCGGTACCATTTATAACTATGCTGTCCTCACCCATGTCCTCACCCACTTTAGTGACCCCCCCCCC